GGCCTAGAGGCTGTGATTTCTGACATCCTGAGGCTACGCCCATCCCTTTGCTAGACTGTGAGTGCCGTGTGAGCAGGATGGGTCTTCCCTGACAACCCATGCCCAGCACTGCATGGTGTTGGTGGATAAGCACTGGTGGGATTAACACAGCAATGCACACTGCCCAGGTGAAAGGAGCTGCAGCGGCAGAGCTGGAAAAGCTGCCTGCAGGTTGTACCTAGTGTTAGTATTCATCTAGCTCTTGCTGGAGGGTTTGCATGGATCATGCACCCATTCAGTTCATCTGTCCTCAGCCCAAACCAAGGCACTATTTGGGGCCAGCACCTTCACTCAGACCACAAATGCCTGTGGGCCCTCCTTGTGCCAGTGTCAGCGGCTGCTGGGTGCTGCAAGGAAACTGTTACCCTATGGGGCAACTCCTAGACACAGCAGGATTTGGGGGTGTGGTCAATGTAGCCCCCAAACCAGATGAGCAGTGATGGAAGAGCTGTCTGACACCACAGGTTCACACGCATGTCAACCATGCACTCCATTCACAGGTTACATTCCAGCAAGGCTGCTCTCGGCTACAAGTAACAGCCCATGGGTGGTGGCTTAAACAGAGTTTATTTTCTTACACTTGGAGCTCTCCAGGCAGGCAGCTGGAAACACCTGTTTAGCCGCTGTATGTCCAGTCATGGCCAGAGACTCTGCCGCAGCCTGGTCCTCACCCCCCTCCCCAAGGACAGCCCAACCTTTCACCACCAGGACTCTTGGGTACCTGCTGCTCCTGGACCAATCATTACATCGTGGCTGGCTCAGACTGGCCACTACCCTCCTGGGACAAGGAGAGGCTGCAACCCCAAGGTCAAGGGGCCTTGGCCCATCACTGAAATAAGTGGGGACCCATTGGTAAGGAGGGGTGTGGCTGTTTGGGAGGCAACGAACAGCGTTTGCCATGGGGAGACATCTGCACACCCAGACAGCTCCCCTCTCACTCAACCAACACTAAGGGAGTGTGTGCCATCACGGCACACGCGTAGGCCTGACATCAGCACACCGTGCCACACAAACACAGGCAGGTGATCAGGAGGTCACTCACTGCAAAGGAGACCGAGGATGGAGGCAGGATGTTGCTGGTGGAGGGAACAGCCAGGCCAGCCCACCAAGAGCGAGGGGGCAAAAGGGTGTAGGTGGAGGCAGGCCTCTGGGCAAAGCAGGCCACCATAAGGACTTTGGACTTTATTTTGAGCATGATGAGAAGCCTGCAGAGTTCTGAGCAGAACTCTGCTCAGAAATCCAACCTGACAGATGTTTTTAAGTAGTTAGCTTGCTGGAGAATGGCTCCTACCAGGTCAAAGATGAAGCCAGGAGACAGAGAGTGTGTATGCCAGTGCATGCAGAGCCTTGGGAGGGTGGACGGGGGCCCAGCGGGGTTGTCTCAGGAGCCGCTGATGTGCCTTCCCAGGAGCTGGCGGGGCCCCCAGGCCCCTTATCCCCACCTGCAATGTGCAACTCATCACCTGCCTTCAGACAGGTTTCTGGTAAGAACCAAGGCAGCCTAGTTCCCGTGCCTGTAAAAAATGCTTCTCCCTGGGGAAAACCCGTCTCTCCCAGGCACTTTGCATCTTCTGGGTTTTCTGGCCACCACGCCCTCACACCCTGCCCACCCAGTTCTTGGCACCTAAAAGCACCTAGTACTGTTCCCATGAATGGATGTGTGCACGTGTGCACTGACACACGCAGATCACCAAGGTGGCGAGGCAGCCTCTAGAGCCAGGATGCCAGGGTTCAAATCCCAGCCCAACCTCTTTCTGGAAGGGTGACCTTGGACAAGTCCTAAACTTGTCTGTGCCTCAGTTTCCTCATTTGTACCACAGGGGAACAGCAGGGTTACCTCACAGGGTTACCACAGGATTGGATGAATTATCACACCTGCAAGTCTCAGCTGGTGTTATTACATCATCAGGTACATGCTACTTCCACACACCTGCACCCCCCATGCTCACAGCAGTGAACTCTCACATGCCCAAGCCAGGGTCTCCCTGTGGACTGGGCCAGAGCCCTCAGGCCTGGGTGTCTGGGCAGTGGCAACAGGTTGGGTAGGGGGTGCAGCCGGGCTGGCAGCAGATCTGCAGGGTGGGGTCCTCACCCCGGGCGATCTGGCTGGGGCCGAAGGTCATAGCTGCATCGAACTGGCCCTTGAGCAGCTGCAGCTTTTTCATCGCCTGCAGTGCTTCGGGGGTGACCTCAGCCACAACCTCCAGAAGGTTGTAGTTCTCACCAGGGTCCTCGGACAGATCGTAGAGCAATGGGGGCTCGTGAGCAGTCAGGGGGCTGGCGGCGTGGCAGGCAGGGTCTGCAGTGGTGTCGCTGTGGGTGGAGCCTGGGGAGAGGTCACCTCTGTGCACAGGTCAAGAGCAAGAGGAGGGGCCAGGGCTTGGGGCTACTTAGGGGGCAGCAGGGAGAGGGGTGCAGGGGAGGAAGTTACCCTGGGTGAAGAAGTGAGCCTTGTACTTCCCACTCCGCACAGCAAAGACCCCGTGGACCTCATCTGGGTAGGCCGGGTAGAAGAAGAGAGATTGCCGAGGGCTCTGGGGGAAGAGTCGGGGGTCACGGGTGGGAGGGGCCGCAGGCACTGCACATACTGGAGCTGCAGCCCTTGTCTGGGCCCTGGAGGCAGCTGCTTCTCGCCCTCCCAGGAACCCGAGGGGTGGCGCCGCTCGGAAGCCACTCAGCAAAGAAGAGGCGGAGGCACGCTCACACCCCAGGAGAGGGCGAGTGCCGCGGCTGAGGAGGGATCAGGGGTCACTGGCCCTACCTTGCCTGTGCCCAGTAGCAGGGAGCTGAGGTCAAAGCCATCCAAGGTGACATTGGGCAGCGGGGCCCCCGTCAGGGCTGCCAGGGTGGGCAGCAGGTCCAGGGAGCTGGCTAGCTCGTGGGTCACACCTGGGGGCAGGGGGTTGTTCCGTCACTCAGTTCACCACCAGGTTGGAGAGGTGGGACCAGGGGTCTGCAAGGAGAGGGCCTGAGGACTGACCGGGAGCGATGTGGCCTGGCCAGAAGGCCACGGCAGGCTCTCGGACACCCCCCTCGAAGGTCGTCCCCTTTCCACATCGCAGAAGGCCAGAGCAGCCGCCTCGGGTCATGCGCATCGTCTCAGGTCTGGGAGACAGGAGGAGGCCATCAGGGCCTCTGACGCAGTGGCGGTGACCACCGGCTCCACACTTTTCAGTTACCAAGCTTGCCCGGAGATGCCCAGCCTGTCCCCGCCCCTGGCCTGCCAAGATCAGCACCTCTGAGCACGAGTGGCCCCCAGTCTCCCGACTGCACTCGTGGGTCACCGTAACATGGCAGCATCGCCTGAGAACCGCTTATCCCACCCTAACCCTAACCCTAACCCTAACCCTAACCCTAACCCTGTGTTTTCAGCTGGCAGCTGCGGGGGAAGGACCCCAGAGCCCCGGCCTGTGACAGAGCAGCGCTGGCCTACCCGTTGTCGGAGGTGAAGATGACCAGTGTCTCTTCAAGCAGCCCAAGGTCCCCTATGGCCATCATCAGGGCCCCCACAGCCGCATCCAGCTCCATCAGGGAGTCCCCAAACGGCCCGCGGCCTGAGCGCTCTGCAAAGCTATGCCCGCTGAACTGGGGGTAGTGGGTGTGCTGGGGGCAGAGACTGGAGTTAGCACTGGCAGGGGCTACAGGCGGCCAACAGGGCGGGGCTGGGGCCACTCACGTGGGATGCGTAGTACAGGAAGAACGGGCGACCTTGGCGCTGGGCGTCAGCCATGAGGTCACGGGCGAAAGCTATGTAGCGGGCCTCCAGGCCGGGCAGCCAGGGAGGCTGCACCTCCACGGACAGGTTGGCCAACAGTGGGATGGGGACCAGGCCCTGGTCACAGCTGCCGTCACAGGGGGTGGTCGGTGGGAAGCAGGTCAGGTTCTGGCAGGGGCCCTGAGGGGGCAGCTCCAGTGAGGGTCTGGGCTAGGGGTGGGGCTGGGGGAAGGTGGAGAGTCAGGGGATTTGTGGGAGGTGGCGGGGAGGGTGGCTGAGGGCTCTGCAGTTCGTACCTGGTCATGGGAGTACGGGATGCCTAGGAATCGATGGAAGCCCTGATGCGGGGGCAGGAAGACCCCCTCTGGCCCCACCCCAAGGTGCCACTTGCCAGCCATTCCTGTGAGGTAGCCTCGGGCTGCCAGGACCTCAGCCAGGGTCACCTCCTGCAGGGGCAGGCCCCCCCGGGACCTAGGCTCCAGGACTCCAGGGTACATGCCCATCCGAACTGGGAGCCGGCCGGTCAAGAGGGCGGCCCTGCAGGACAAGTCCCAGAGCCCGTCGGACAGAGACAAACACGGGGTGGGGGGACAGAAAAGTGCACCTCCCCACAGAGAGAGACTGACCCCTCTCCTCCCCGACCGCCATCCAGAGTGAATCTGCTGGGAGGAGTCGGATGGGCGGTGTCGGGGTGAGGGCCCCCTTGCTTACCGGGAGGGTGTGCACAGAGACACAGGCACATAGAAATCTGTGAACCGCAGCCCCCCTGCAGCCAGCTGGTCCAGGTTGGGGGTGGTGGAACTGGGGTGCCCGTAGGAGCCCAGGTCCCCATAGCCCAGGTCGTCAGCAAAGATGAGCACGACGTTCGGTGGGCTGGCAGCGGCCAGGCCTGCGGCCAAGGCCAGAAGGAGGGCCCACAGTGCCCCCATGGCACACGGTACAGATGGGCCTGACCCAAGACACCCTTGAGAGGGAAGGCAAAGTGGCTCCAACAGGCACTTCCTGAGACCCCAGACCCAGACGCCACCCTCCTCTGACCTGAGACCCGAGACCCCAGACCCAGACACCACCCTCCTGTGACCTGACACCTGAGACCCCAGACCCCGACACCACCTCCTCTGACTTGAGACCCGAGACCCTAGATCCAGACACCACGTCCCTTGACCTGAGACCCGAGACCCCAGACCGAGATACCACGTCCCCTGAGACCCCAGACACACATCTTCCCCCGACCCTGACGACCCGCTTCCTGAACTCCCCGACAGAACCCGGGTGACGGAAGCCTGGGCTCTAACTTCCCAGAGACCCTCCAGGGCCAGGACACCTTCAGGTTCTCGAGCGGAGATCAGCTCCTCTTCGCCTAGAGGTCCCGGCTCGGGCTCGGGGCCCGGGCATAAGTCACATGACACTGACCAGCGGCGTCCTGGGCGCCGGGACGAGGACCGTGGGGAGCCGAGGGAGGCGGATCCCGGACAGCGACCGCTTCCGCCTCGGCCCGGGCCCGCCCCGTGGCCCCGTGACCCGCGAGGCTGGGGCCGGGCGGGCCGGGCCTGGGGCGGGGCTCAGGGACCCGGAAGAGCAGAGGCGAAGCGGGGAGGGGGCCGAGCGCGGTCGCGAGCGCGGGCAACCTCAGCCCCTCTCTGCACCCGGAGGCCGTTGGCGCCCGGCCGCGCGGGGAGGGGCGGGGCGGGGGGCGCGGGGC